TGAAGTAAAACTTCTTATCGATCCAGAATTCTTTACATGATTTGGTAAGTCATTAAAAAGCTCAGCGGCTGCATAAGAAAATGATCTACTTCCTGATTTAAATGAAATCCTATTCAAATGAATATTACTACGTCCCCTAGTATTATAATTATGTATATCCAAATTACGAGAAAACAAATTCAATAAGTAGGATGGACAAAAACCATTTATGCAGCAGAAAACTTGAAGACATTTGTGGAAAGTCCATCTCTCAGTTAGTGGTAACCAACCTAACTCCTTAAAGAGCTGTTCAGAGCTTACTTCTCCAATCTTACGCTTAAGGATAATACCAGCACCTCGTTTTTGTAATCTTAACAGCCTATCCAAATATTTTTTATTTGAATTGGACCAAACAATATCGCGATCTCGTATAATTATGCAATTGCTTACAAACATCAATACTAATATCTTTTCTAATTCTACTCACGAGTCCAAGTCTACGAGAAACATTCCAAGCTATTGTATCAATATGTCCATACTGGTTCAAATTCGAATAAAAAATGACTCCTAAGTATTTAGAAAAATCTTTACCAGAAGAAATGATTCTGACATTTTTAGGACAGGCCTACTAGCTTTAGTTAGACGCTGACTTGTGCCAAACACCAAGACACTTGTCTTGGAGCAGTTAACTATCAGACCATTATCACGGAACCAATTGCTCAAGGAGCTAAGCTCTTCTTGAAGGACGCGTTCGATGATCTTTAAATCCTTGTTGGCGAAGAACAGTGCTGTGTCATCCGCATATTAAACCACCTTTCATTGCTTGACATTGTTTGGAAGATCGTTGATGAAGATAGGGAATAACAAGGGTCCTAAGACAGTCCCTTGAGGTACACCAGAGTTCAAATCCATGGGCTCAGAGGTGGTTCCATTGACGCAGACAGACTGAGTTCTACCAGACAGATAATTATCGAACCAGTGTAAAGCGTGTCCAGTTATACCAACGTAAGCAAGTTTAGTTTTCAAGATGGAATGATCAATCAAATCGAACGCCTTGCTCAAGTCCAAGAACAAACCACCAGTAAGGCAGCCTTGATCCATATTCTTCAATTTGAAATCAGATACATCCAAAAGACAAGTCGTAATAGAGTGGTCTGGTCTAAAGCCTGATTGATGGGAGGATAGCAGCTTGTTTGATGATCAATGCTGTTATATCTGACTGTGAACTGCTCGCTCGAAAATCTTCATCACCACTGGTAAGACGGATATGGGTCTGAAATTATTAGGATCAGAGACAGAACCATCTTCATGAAGAGGTGTCACAATGGTAGATTTCCATGACCAGGGTATGATAGCAGAACGCAGCGACAAGTTCAATATGTAAGTTAAAGGTGCATGTGGCAATGACGTCAGCTCCAGTTTTTAGAAAAGGAGTATGAATATCTTTGAGGCCTGAAGACTTGTTAACTTTAAAAGAAGATAATTCCTTACGCACAAAATCAACTGAGTTGATTTTCTGATACCAAATTCTTTACTGATACCAAATTGAGTGCATTGAAAACATTACTTAGATGGACTTGATTGGGTTGCGTAGACTTGAGACGTTCCACCACTTTAGTGAAAAACTTGTAAAGGATAGTCGCCATCCTCTGATTACTTGTGTAACTGATGTTATCAAGAATGAATTCTTGAAGTGACAATTTCTTTTACTTCGGTAACAGTTTCTTTATAGTATTCCATATGTTCGAAGTATCCTTAGTATTATCAGTTCATAAGTTGTTAAAATACTCACGCTTGGCTACCTCGATTAATCTTGTAACAGTGTGTTGAAGTCCTAAATGTAATAACTTTCCTAAATGTAATAAAGTCCTAATGTAATAACATTTGGTCCTAAATGTAATAAGCCTCTAATGCAATCGTTCGACTGCACGAATGTATTGTTGTCATAGCGGACATTGACATTGAGGTGTTAAAAGGACAGCTGTTGCACCAAAAAATCCTCTGACCAGTATTCATGTCACATTGCAGGCTCGCTGATATTAACCTGCATCTTTTTATCTTACTAATTCAAAGTTGAGTAGCATTGGCTGGAGACCGTTATACTGACAGCATCTAATGACAGCTGACAAAACAATGAGTACGCTGACCAATACCTCCATATATCACTGGCTCAGACTCTTAAGTACAATAGATTTTGGAAAAATGTGATAACGTTATACTTGTGTGATCAGTGATGGAGGTACAAGTCTTAAACCAAATTAAGAACTTGGACAAGGAAGTCTGTAGACATATAGGTCGAACAATTTGCGGGCTTGGATATAAATTTTTCGTCTTTACTTTTTAGACCAGACCTTGTTAGCATGCACATTTTGTTTCCCAATTCGGACCTTGTGACAGCTCTCCAGAGGTTATCGTTTTCAAATTGTCCAATATTTTCGTGGTTATATGAATGGCGACGAGATGATTTTCCTCCCCAAGAGAGGATAATTGAGAACAATTGTGTTCTCTTGATCTTGAAATGCATGCAACAAATCTAACAAATACGTGTGATGCACGATCCTCGCAGTAGAGAGCGCTATTTATGCAATAGCGAAAATCAGACAGAAAAAAAGAAATCAGGCCTGTACGGGATTCCAACAACTGACCTCTGCAATACTAGTGCAGCGCTCTACCAATTTAGCTAACAAGCTAACTGGGAGCAGGCCGTTAAGTTGATTCGTAGTAACCAAATCTAACAAAGAAAAAAGGTACCGCGTGGATCTGCATCAAATTATAATAATATATAGTAATAATAACTTTTATTTATATAGCGCTCATATCCAGAGCTCATGGCGCTTTACAACACTGTACGGGGGACTTTACCAGACTGCTAAGCAGTTTACAATCAATTAAAGGCGAATCTAACAGATACACCCTCCCCCTAATTCCCAGTGAACAGGCCAGACCACATCACAGTAATCTCGTGAGTGGGTTCTTTAACGTCCCCTGCCTAACCAAATTATAACTAATTAATAGATGCAGGAGACGGGACCTCCGGTTTATTCGTCCTTATCCGAGAAGACTAGAATGTCTATCCATTTCTTGATGTTATAGAAAGGTAGCACATTCTCCTCAGTTATTTTAACTGAGACCCTGAGTGTTGGTCCGGTCGGGGCTTGAACCCTCGACCTCCCGCAAAACTGTCCGGCGCTCAACCAATTGAGCTAATTTGGAGGAAATCATATACTCAGTGACTTACATTTAACAAGTGTAAATGAAAAGAAGCTGCTACCAGCACATTCAAAATGGTTATCTATGTGAAAGGTTGTTAATGATGTACCGATCCCCAAAAACTCATCAAAAATTTGGGCTTATGCTTTCTCTGAGATGCGAGTAAAACTAATCGTGTGAGCCGTTGTTTAACGGTCTACTAATTGATTTAAAGAAAAAAAGGGAAACATGGTTTGCTCGACGCGCTGATCTCCTTAACGATCAAACATTAGATAAAAAGGCATAACCTGACTCTGAAATGGACTTTTCTTTAACTGAATCGGCACTATGAGAGTGACGTGCTCGTAAAGAGCAGAACTTTTCCGTTTCAAATTAGCTGGCAGTAACACAAAAGATTTGCCCATTAACGTTATATCGACTGGTTGAACTGACTTTGAAAAGATTCTTGAGTTCATATAGCAAAAATTGATTGGTGATAATAAAAATAGTACCAATTGCGAAAAACATTTCACGAGCCTGTGAAATAGTATTTCCGGAAGTTTTCGTTACGATCTACATCGAATGCAGTACGCTAATACTTGCTTTGATTTATCATGGTCTAATCATATTTTTTATGTTTAAAAGAATTTTATGAATAAGGTTGGGGTTCTGAAAAGAATAAAGTATCTTCCCGTAAAGACATTAGCAGAGATTTATTTCAAAACAATTATTCCAAGTGTTACATATGGTATCCTGTCTTGGGGAAACTGTACCACGATCCTACTTTCCCACTTGGATACAGTCCACTCCAGAACAGCGGGAATTATTTACAACCCTGATTCATCTTTATCTGATGCTGAATGACTCTTGAATTCTAGCTGGCCTCCAATATCCTATTTTTACAAGAAATGTGTTCTTTTATTTATGCACTGAAGGTTTATTTTGACCCGCTGCCCTTTTCGTTCGGGGACCTTTTTTCAGAGAATGCCTCTGGCAGATCTCTGCGTGCCGTTAAACAGATGAATATACCCAGACCAAACTCTGAAGCGTAGGCTTAGCCACAAGTTGCTCGGCAACTTTTCAGCAACCTTTGAGACTTTCGTCACATTTTTAGAATTTTGGAAACTTTTAGAATTTTCGTCAATTTTGGGCTTTTGGAGGTGCTTTGAAGCCACTTTCTTCACGTTTTGAGCCACATTGGTCAGTTTTCGTTAGACATTTATTGAATTTATTCTAAAATACAATAATTAGACCCCCTCCCATGGGTTGATTTTTGTGATGCCTTATTACGAGGTCAGCGGTATCACGTTGCACGTTTTTCAAGATGGCGGACAATAGACCTCTTTCATAAATGGCTGCCGGATTAAAATTCGTTTGTTTACATATAAATTTTCCAGGGTGGCCTCGTTCTCCAGTACAAAATTCAAAAGAACACATTATCTCAAGCGAGGCCACTCGGGCAAATTTAAATTTAAACAAAAGAATATTAATCCAGCAGCCATTTACGAAAGTGGTCTATTACAGTGACTAT